TTTCTAGGAATCTGGCCATTACGTGTAGATGTCAATACTGATTATGACGACACATTGGTGCTATCATTTGTAGGCCAGACACGGTAAGTAACATGGAATTATTTCCAGTACCATAAAAGTTGTATTAATGGCCACACACCTTTTTTTTTGAACAATTGAGACCCAAACATTCACCATTTCTCATGTGTAGATGTTATAATAGGAGTGTATTCCGCTCTGTTGTATTGTACAATTTTAACATCAGCCGTTGATTCTAATACAGATTTTCTAGTGTACTCCTACAGACCAAAATCTAATATTTATTCCCTGGCACACAGTGCTTGCAATGATAATCAGTAATCGGTATATTAAAGGGCGGTAGTCATCACGCCACGCATACGCGAGATATATAGGTCTCGTATAAACAAAGGTGGCGACTTTGACGGTTGCGCAGATCAACAAGTACAAACTGAGATGTTACCAAGCTTTTAATTAGATGTTTTTTTAGGTGATTAGGAGTCACAGGTGGTAATTAGTGCAAGTCGCGCCCAGGTCAAACCTCAAACTTGTGATTTCCATTAGAAGAGCACATTGGATTGTGGGAAAATCACTGCCATTTAAGTATGGAGTCATGAATAATGAAAATCAACATCTTGAAACTTGTTCGGTGTGATGGCCAAATTGGATCTGCGTATGCATGTTTCTTACTGTTTTTGTCCAAATAAAATGAAGTGTGAATTCTATGAGTGTGAATATGAGATTAACCGAGGATGTTGCATGTATGTCCGAAGACGTAGCAGAGGTCGATGTGATCGTGTAGTGTCAGAGTGCACATCGTTTGGTATAGAAAGCCAAGAGTTAAATAAAATGGAGAAAATTATTAGAACTTTCCCGCTATGAACTTTGTTTTTTAAAGTGTCCGTCGCATAATCATTCATTATTTGGAATGAGCATTTCCTAATATGGTAGGATGCAGATATCTAATGCAATATCGTACAATCATGACACGCTGTAATTTACTTCAATATAGTGACAGATGTGTAATAATATTTTTTTTGTTCAGTGTTTTAATGTTAAATGGTGAGGAAGTAGAAGAAACTGAGATGCAAGGTTTTGATAGCGATCAACAGACATTCTTTTGTGGCAATGTAAACAGTAATCAACTCATACAGGTGCGTGGAACCAGTGCTATTTGTAGATTTAAAATAACCTGTAACAAAGCATGTTTGTTCGTTCATTGAAGTGGTAATACTCAGTATCCTGACAAAATGTACCGATCTTAAAAAAAATTGGCCTATAAATGGATGTAAATGGGTTGTATAAGAGTGAGCATGGTCATTTGATTATTTGTGTTCATATTGGATAGCAATATCACTACTATGATGGAATTTGGCCAATACAAAGTTGGTTGGACTGTCAACTTTTGTCATCAATAATGCTGGTGATCTTTACAGTTAAGTGTTCTATTGAAGTAATTTTTCCATCAGGTGAGGAGGGGGGGGGGGGTTCTGCTTCAAAGTTTCAAGAGGAAAACGAGTATTCTGTTGCCCACGCCAAATTTAGCCACAAGATTTAGTGTGTTATCGCACACTAAATTTTGTAATCTCTCTCCCCAAATTGAAATGACCTATCTCTAATTGTTGTCACAGATTACTACGGCATCCGTGCGTCTTGTGAGTACAGAAACTAAGCGGTTAGTGTGGGAATGGAAACCACCATCAGAGAAGAATATAAGTGTAGCATCGTGTAATACCAGACAAGTTGTATGCGCTGTCGGCAGTGAATTGTTCTATTTAGAAATACATCCTGGTGAAGTCACTCAGATAAGGTATTGTCAATTTTACTAATTGATGACTTTTAGCTACTGTAAACTGTTTATAACTTAGAGACACAATTTTTAGTAAATTTTGATAGAAAACAACAAAATATTTTAGCAGTTGCTATGGGTGATATTTAGACAAGCAGTCACAAATAAAAAAACATAATTTCTTGTGATAAAAATTAAATGTTTCACATATTATGCTATATCCATGGTAACAGTACCAGACATTAACATTTCCCTACAGTGTCCTGCTTCTAATGTTTACTTTGTTTTGTTTTTAGTTCCACTACACTGGAACACGAGGTGGCATGTTTGGATATTACACCAACCACCGAGGGCAGTGATGTTGCCGAATTATGCGCTGTAGGATTATGGACTGATATCTCGGCTAGAATTTTAAAATTACAAGGGTTGGAACAAATGCATGTGGAAATGCTTGGAGGAGGTAAGATGCAACACAATGCATTGTAGGAATTTGTTACTCGGATATATAACAGTGGTTTCCCAGAGTATTTTGGGGTTCATAGTTCTACTGATTGTCAATTGTGGGATGTGTTCTAAGGTAATCACACGATATCACTTGTTTGTAGAAGTTGTTGTCATGAGAAACACAGCCATATATTTCAAAATTAACTTGCACTCAACAGTATTGTGATAGTGTTATTGTGTCATGCAATGAATCGTTAGTCAGTCTGAAATTTTGAGATCACTGTAATAAATAAATTGCATTCGCACAATTCGTGTCTCGCTTCATACTATTTGAACATGCAGGAAATTATATTGAATGATATTAAAATTGTTTGTCGATTCGCTTGCAGAAATTATTCCTCGTTCTATCCTGATGACTTCATTTGAAGGTATACATTACCTGCTCTGTGCACTGGGAGATGGGTCATTGTTTTATTTCCATCTTAACACAGAATCTGGTAAGTGAAGTGGCTTGACATTCTGCAATAGCAATAAGTGAGCTGTAAATCTACATTTACATCAGTTCTGAGAATAACAGTTAGCAGGTTGTCCAATCTAGGTTTGATGGCACTGTTCCATTGACACGTGCAGTTTAGATCGTTTCCATTATCAAACCAGACGATGGTAAATTGCTGCTTTTTCATAATGATACATGTTCATAACAATATACTTAAACAGGTTATTTTGATATTTCATGAATTGCATACAATTTAGATGACTAAGTACACTAGACTAGTCATGTTGAACACCCTTATGAAATAGTCAATCACACACTGTCAGTTCTGTGAAGTCTAGAACAAAACAAACTCCAAATGCTTCACAAACTGCAAGCCAACTTGCTAGTTGACTGTCTGAATATTTCCAAAAACTGTAATAGATTGAATACCCATAAAAGACCTTTTCACATTTTTTCCCTTATTTTAATCAAAATCTCTGGCCAATAGGAAATTATATTTATCTGGTTCAAAATTGACAATAAAAAAGCAAAATGCAACAAGCAAAATGTTGGCAGGAAAAATGATGGCACTCAACAGGGTTAATGAGTATATGTGTGTTTCTCTTCTTCTTTTCTGCAGGTTACCTAAATGATCGCAAAAAGGTCACGCTCGGAACTCAACCCACAGTATTGAAAACATTCAAATCTTTGTCTACCGTCAACGTGTTTGCTTGTTCGGATAGACCCACCGTTATTTACTCCAGTAATCACAAACTGGTGTTCTCTAATGTCAATCTTCGTGAAGTCAGCTACATGTGTCCTTTGAATTCAGAAGGCTATCCAGACAGGTCAGTTAAAAATTTATATAAAAAAAAACATTGGTTATATATGGTCATTATAAAATATGGTACTGTTAAAACAATTAAAATTTTTATCAGATTTTTAAAATTTGAAAAAAAAGAAGTGTTTTTTTGATAGATTACTTTTGAAATGACCGCATGTAGCAATGGAACTTGGCTGTACTGCTTGGTAGGCTTGCAAAGCAATTACCGTAATTGCTCTAATAAAAGCACACATGAGATTTTATGCATGGTAGAAGCTTAAATTTTCACTGATTATTGTTATGTTATTCACAGATTTTCAAATGAAACACAGATCTATTGTCATTTTACATGTTCACATAAATTTAATTTAACAAATTTCAGTTAACAGCGAAAATAGCAAAATTAAAATGAAGTGAAAAACTTGCACTGATCCATGTATGCAAAGTTTTTAACACATTTTTTGTGTAAGCTCTGTCATGAGCAAACATGTGATAAATGATTTTATTTGCGGATATGAATACTGACTAAGTTTTGTATTTGCAGCCTTGCCTTAGCTAACGACACCACACTGACAATTGGTACCATCGATGAAATTCAGAAGCTCCATATCCGTACAGTACCCCTTGGTGAATCCCCAAGGCGGATAGCATACCAAGAAGACACACAAACATTCGGTGTGATTACTGGCCGTGTTGAGTACAAGGATGGAGCAAACACGATACCAACTCGACCTAGTGCAAGTACCAGTGCGCTTGGCACATCTAGCAGCACTAACACAAGTAAAAATGTCCATGGTGGTGCTGATAAGTTCGGGGAGAGCTCTTTCGGAGATGAAGTAGAAATCTATAATTTACTCATAATTGATCAACATACATTTGAAGGTGAGATTCTGGTCAGATATAGATTTGAGTATTGTGATGCGAGTTTTTGCTTCGCTTAGATTGTTTGTAGTGGCAGATTTTTTATTTATTCATGCCTATCGTCCCTCTGGGACATAGGCCACCAACAAGAATTCTCCAACCAGGCCGGTCCTGCGCCAGATGCTCTACTTCCTTCCAGGTATAACCCGACCTCCGGACAATCAGCCTCTAGGTCCCGTCGCCAGGTATTTTCCCTTTTGCCCTGTGGGCTCCAGCTGAGTGCCGACCTTGTGATGTTTTGGGTTGGTTTTTGAAGGGTGTGTAGTGGCAGATGTATTTTAATTATCACTAGACCATATTGTGTGCTTACGTATTACGTCTTTTGTTTCTCTGCAGTTTTGCACAGTCATCAGTTTATGAACAATGAGTATGCCACCAGTCTTGTATCGTGTAAACTCAGCGATGATAACAATACATACTATATTGTCGGTACTGGATTTGTCTATCCTGAGGAATCAACCCAAGAGTGGTAGAATCATCGTATTTCACTGGAATGAAGGTAATTTATCACGATTTGTATTCTTTCGCTCATCGGCCATGCCTTAATATGAGCGTTATTACAAGGATGTATTGGACAGTATGCTTGAAGGCAGTACAGCTGGATGCGACTGTGTACTACAGTAATGTATAATTTTCGGTATTTCCAAGTAATAACCTTATTATACATCATCCCTCATCCAACTGCTTATTGTGTGAAGCCCAGAACTGAAGAAGATTGTGAAAGTGACAACTTTCTTGCAAGGAACTTGTTCTGTATTTGATATTTGCATTTCCTACTAAAGTAGGATGCAGATACCCTGTGTAAAATTATCACACACTAACTTGTGGATATATGCTGTCAGATGTATAATAATAATAATTACTGCATCAATGCATTAAACTTGTTCTCAGGTAAATTAAATCAAGTAGCTGAAAAAGACATAAAGGGTGCTGCCTATTCATTGCTGGAGTTCAATGGTAAACTCTTGTCCAGTATAAATAGCACTGTGAGTAGGTCTTTCTTTATGTATAAACGTAATATCGTATTTTCTTTATTTTCAATGGAAAGCATTGACATTCTTTGAACATTTGGCATTTGTTTATTTGCCTTTTCTTCTCGTGGGACCATATATAGTAATATTCTGTGAAATGGAATCCTAAACTCCAGGGCTTGAAATTGACTTGATCTTGTAGTTGAGAGGACATCCATTTACAAGACAAAATTTATAAAATAGCCGATGGCGTATAAGAAAAGTGTACGGAAATCTGTGTTTTTCAAACTGCACTAAAAGAAACTCCTTGGCCATTGAGGCAATTGCCTTTGATGTCGCCGTGAAGTTAAACCTTCAATCCATTCTGCCATGATTTCCTTGAAGTCACACTGTTGTAACTCCGCTTGTGAGTATGGTGATTTTATTACCATTATAGATTATCATTTTCATCATACTTGTATATCAGGTCAGTACTTGTAATTTGTAATTATATTTATAAATTTCTAACAGGTCCGACTGTTCGAATGGACCGGTGATCGGGAACTGCGAGTTGAATGTAGTCATTTTAGTAATATCATAGCATTGTACCTCAAGACGAAAGGTGATTTCATATTAGTTGGTGATCTGATGAGATCTATGACGTTATTGAGGTACAAACCGATGGAAGGCTCGTTTGAAGAGGTAAGCAATGCTTTTTCTATTAATGGCTTCCGTGTAAGTCAATAAATTGTTACTTTAAAAAATATTTATAAATTTAGTATTGAGGTTGTCACAATATTACCACAAATTATGCATGAACACAATACCAAATTAACCCATTTGTACAGAAATTGATGTACTGGTAATTGTAAGTACTGCCTTCATCCATCCATCTACAATACA